TGCATGACTGGTTGAGCTTGTCTTTAACTGTTTTCCATTGTGTTTCAATTTCAAATTGGACCAATGTTCGTACTTGTTCCATGGCTTCTCCGTCCTCCACCTGCGCCCCCTCTATCTCCCAGATACATCGTCTCCACCATATGGTCCATAAGACATTCCGCCTGCCCAGTCTGAACATATTTTCCACAAATGTGTTTCCCCGGATTGGGGGGTAGTGTCAGAAGAGTATGGCCCTCCAATCCCAAGGCCACGTCTCGCCGGGAACAATATGGCGCCAAATTCTATCCCAGCTTCTCCACATTAGTACTGACGCAGGGCATTGGAGGAAAATATGTTCGATAGTCTCCGCCCGCTTCGCCCCAGGGAAGCTCTGACAAAATTTGCGACACCATGGTAGTGCTTTCCCTTGCTGTTCCAGACGTGTGTGGTCTATCAACCAATCATTGGTTGGTAGGCACCTATGTTCGATTTGCCATTGGAGGGCCGAGATTTTGGCGGGTCTGCATCTATGGTGAGCGAACCATCGAATGGGTTTAAGAAGACTACGGTCTATGTTAAGATGGCGATACCATCTGTCCTCCACACAGTCCCGCAATCTGCGTTTGGGTCTGAACATTCGGTAGGCTGATTTAGTTTTTAGATTGTGTAGTGTCAATAGGTTGTCCCCTCCTTTCCTGGCCGGGTTACCTTGGCTCCATCGCCATTCCGCCGGGTCTAGGGGAAGGTCCTCAATTGGGGTCGTAGGGCAATACACCTTCGGGCAGCAATCCTCCTCAAGCACCCTGATACGATACATCTCCTTTTGGTCCTTCCATACAAAGGGTTGTTGATTCCATTCCAGTCTACCCTCTTTTTGGATGGAGAAGATTTCTATTAGTGCATCTTTAGGGCCTGTAAGGTGCACTCGCCCCACTTCTTTCTCTTGGTCGGGTAACCCCACCCAGTCCCCTTCCTTTAAACATGGGCCTTTCCTGAGGGTGGTGAACCACTGGAGAGGGAAGCTTTCGATGAGATCGTTGAATGCTTTCTCAGTGGAATGGCAGTACCGCAGCCATATACGCATCCTTTCAATGCTCTTCCAGTTGCCGGCCTCCCTATCCCAAAGGTCCCCGACTCTTCGGGCCCCATGTTTTACCCAACCTTTCCATGGAGCCTCCGAGTTGTTCCGCATGCGCCCTCCAGAATCTGTTATTAGGTGGTTACCAAAAAGGGGTTGCCTGAATATTTCTTCCCACCTTTCTGGTGTTGATCGAAGTGGTGGGGGGAGTTTCCTCCAAGTGCGTATGAGGCGCACCCATTGTTTGTCAGCAGGGTCCCCATTCCTATACTTTCTTGGCAACCTCCAATACCTATCCTCGAGCCATACTCTAGGGTCCATCTCAGGTGGGAATTCCGGGGCCAGATCAGAAATTTGTGCCAGAGCTAAGGGAACCCAGGGGGATGATGTAGAGAAGATGATATGTTGAAGCCAGCGAAGCGTAAGGGCTTGGAATTGTGTGGCCGGGTCCACAATTCCCAGCCCTCCCATGTTCTTGGGCTGAATCACTGACTCCCATGCCACTCGACTTATGGCGTGAGATTTGTTGCTGTCTCCTCTCCAGAGGAAAGCCGCCAGCTGTTGTTTCAGTGCCTTGATCCCCCCTGCACTCAGGGGCCATAGGATAGCTTTATACCATAGGGTGGCTAGGACTACATTGTTTATCACAAGCGCTCGCCCAAAGATGGAGGTGCGTTTGTTGTTCCATTTCTCCAGTTTGGTCTGCGCTGGTCCAGCCAACCATTCGTCATTAGACGGTGGTCTCCCGTTTGCGGTGACTAGTGCTCCTAGGATTCTTAGCGGGACCTCAATCAATTTCTCCGAAATGCAAAAGTTACCAACTTTCCCAAAAAAAAAATAGAAAAAAAAAAGAAAAAAGGGTCAAAGCATACTACAAAACGGATTTCACAAAGAAAAATTCTACAAAATGACAAACTCTAATAGGTTATTCTCCTGTGTTTCAACACCATTAGATTGCAATACATCAATGGCAGAGCTTCGTCCCACCATGCGACACGTGATAGAAAGCTCAGCGTTGAGAAAACTCAACGCTGTAGGTGGGACCAGACCGCAGGGGCTCGGACCGACTAGCATCGCATAAAATGGTGTGTGGCGTCCGTTTCTTATAAAGAATGTTTTTTTTTAGTTACACAAATGCAAAGAAAACGACCCGAACGAAAAATAAAACGATCAGTCTGACACTGACATCATGACAGTGCATCAAGTGCATCCACACTTCACGGGTGTCCACGTTCGACAGAGCTGTCCTTCTAAGTTGGGCAACGCCTTCGCGGTACATCTGAATGTGACCGCCCGCCAGCCTCTTCAGATTGCATCTGCCCGTACCGTGTCACCATGTGCACCGTCTTCAAGACCTCCAAACGATAAGGCCTCCCTGAGTGGAAACAGGGAGGCCTCAGGCCCGTACCTCACACATCTTTCCATTTGTGGCAAACCCGACTGGGGAGGCTGGTTTTCGTTGTGGCGTTAATACCATTGTGGTAGGGAGGTACTGTGCTTGCCACAACCGGTCGGAGGCATATGCGTTATCATGCATTGCACATAGGAGCGGGGGCCCAGTCACGCATGTCCATGGTTGGGTGTCGTCGCGAGGTGGGACTCGTTGTACTCAACCTTATATGTGTCAGCCTCCCTCTGTAAACAGTTCAATTTTTCCAGTGTCCGGATGCACGGCCCGCTACCTTGGTCCATTAGCGAAGATGGGTGTGAGGCCGGCTATTGGGTGGAGAAAGGGGGGCGCTGTGGCTGAGGGAGGCTGCCTAGTGTCGTCTTGCAATGCCGCACCTGAGAATGAGACAGAGAGAAGAGCTCGCTGTCGCAGTGATGGCGGTTACGGGTAGGATGGCCGCGGATGCATTTCAAAGTTTGGATGTGCTGGTGGGTTCCCGAACAAGGAGACCACTGTTGTTGGGGCCTGAGTCTGATCACACCCTGTTCGCTAGAGGAGAAGATGATGACGACCACGGGTGGGGAGGGCGTAGTCTACTTTGGCTGTGGCCAACGATTGTTGAATCTGGAATCTTTTACCAAGGTGTTCGCCTTGGTGGTCGGTCATGCGCCAGACAACTGGATTATGGATAATATGGAACGATCTTCAGATCCCCGATGACGCCGAGAACGATCATTACATAGGGCTGCTGCGCATGCGTTGCTCAACATTCAATAAACTGCTGTGAAAGGTCGGTCCACTTCTCGAGAAGTAGGTGAGAAGATTCAGGTTGCCATTGCCTCTAGCAAAGAAACTGGCGTACGCTCTCCACAGATGGGGCCACGTTGACACTCACTGGCACAGTTGCTCGGGCTATGGGATGGGCAAAACGAGTGGGTTGCGAGCCATTAGAGAAGTGGCGGATGTAAGCGTCTACTTTAAAGGAACTGCACCACGTGGCTGGGATATTTACATCGGCATCTAAGCTTCTACTTCACGTAAGCGTCCGCTTCAACCCTCTAGCTGATGTTGCGCGGCAACCAATGAGAACAACCCGAAAACAAACAAAGGCAGCACGGCGCTGCCGAAAGGCGTACGAGTAAAGATGACAGGTTCGTCGAAATGAAGAACCCTTAAAAAGTTGCTACAGCACGAGGCTGGGATATTCACATCGACACCTAAGCGTTTAATTGACCAAAACGTCCACTGCAATCCGGTACCTCATCAAAACAACAGCACAGCTCGAACCGGCCGACTGGTAGATGAAGTGAGAATAAATTCGCACTTTTGCTTATGGCATTTCGAAAAAAAACTACGCGTATTTTTACAACAGTGGTATCATTCAGCGCCTTGGAGTATGTCCACCGCAATCCTCAGCCGGATGTTTGGAATGTCGCTTCGGGCTATCGAAAATGGTGGCGGACAGCCGCGTGCAAGAAATGAAGCGAAGGTGAGCATGAAAACACCGCAGCTCGACCCGTCCGATTGTTGAGGGACACCACGAACAACCACCTTGGGCTCCTTGAGATCCACTTTCGTTTTTGGACCATAATGACAAATTGCTTTGTCACGGAGGTATTGCGTGAAGTTCGGAATCACATCGGAAGAAAAACCGCCATCGTCTTGTACGAGGGAGTTGTAGTACTCCAGCCGTTGTTCTCAGAGACACAATAGGGTCCAATGCACTTCATGTTTATGGACAGGAATCAAGACCATCTCGTGCGAGATATATCCACATCTTTTGTCCATCTCGCAACCCTATCATGTCGATAGCCGCCACGGACGAGCTTGGTATAGAAAAACGGACTGAAAATGTAAAGAGAAGGACACCCAGGCAACGCAGCATTGTCAAGCAAGGCCAAGTACGACTCCACCACCTCGTCGAAAAGCCATTCCCCCTGAATAAGAGTTTGAAGACTTTTTCTGCTCAACGGAATTGAACTGACCCCTTTGCGAAACGAGCACACCACCTCGTGGCCGTTGCTGTAATCTCCACAAACGTTCCGCAACATTCTCAAGTCCGTAGCGCTAAGCTCCTCAGTAGGGAACGGAACGCGAAAACATGATGTAGCCCCAACTGCACAAACCCCGGGGTGGAATGGCTAAGAACTGTCTGCCCTTTTCCCAAAAAAGTTGTATCCCCGCTTGTTGAATGTGTCCTTCGCGATGTACTTAGGACACAGGTCTTTCAAGACACCCCGTTTGCCATCGTCATCAGACCCGTCAGACAAAGCAGTAATGCTCTCAATAGATGCAACCAAATGTTTCCGCAGACCTTCCTCCTTATCTATTCCACAAGCCTTCAGAACCCTGACAACTCTCTGGGAAAGGCGAGGCATCTGGACCCGTTTAAACAACCCTACACTTGACGACTTCTTCGGTGAAGCGGCCAATGACCTCCCTGAAAGACGTTTATCRCGCACGGCTTTTAAAGGCTTCATGGGCAGGGACATTAACGACYTCACACCTGTAGAACATAGAAAACAACCCACAGCCCACAARYTTTTTTTTAACTAGTGGTAACAGGTACATTAGCCCATGACATCAATTCGGACGAACACAGAGCTGGCCAGTGACAGATATGCGAGTGGTCCTATTCACAAATCTTACCGTGCTCATGAGCCCTTTGAGGGAACTCGCCCTCCTGTCGCGCCACTGCGCCAACGTCCACGGATGATTCGAGTTTCTGGACCTCGGCCACGGCTGTGTCGCTAACCAGCTCGGTGGCAGCTGAGTCGCTTGGCAAGTGGATGGGTTCATGAAGCACCATTTCCCGACCGGTACTGAGGACAGATGCTCGAACACCCTGTTCGGCACCGCAATAGGTGGACGGAGAATCATGATCTTTCCGCTCTGGATCCATGTTGATGCTGACGGCCACCTCACCGCCTTCGACGGAGGATTCGACGTTCTGCATCTCGGCCACGCTTGAGTCGCTAACCAGCTCGGTGGCTGCCGAGTCATTACCCAACTCTATGGCTTCATGAAGCACCATTCCCCGAGTGGTGCTCAGGACAGACGCTCGACCACCCTGTTCTTCACCGCAACGGGTGGGCGAAGAATCACCATCTTTCCGCTGTGGATCGGTCCGGATGTCGACAGTCACCTCACCACCTTTCTCATCGCCATGAACCCGAGCTTCCACCACGGGTTCTTCGTCGCCAAGAACGAGAGCTTGCACGGACGTCCACTTACCTCCCTTAACGACACCCTCTCGCGTCGTGGCCACAGCCGAGCGACTGTGCAGAACCTCTTCGGGCGTCCTGATCACCAGCGCTCGTGCGTGGAGCCACTTCACGTCTTCACGATCCGGCCCGTGTCGAGTCTCCTCTCCCCGCTGTACAGCATGCGTTTCCCCCGGAGCTCCTGCACTCTCGCTGCCAGTGTCCACGGACGCACCCTCCAAAGCATGACGTTCACACTCGCTACCCCCGGTCTCCAACACTTTGCGAGACTGCCAGCGTTGGGTCTCCTCTTCCCGATGTACACCACGCATTCCCGGAGAGCGCTCGTCTTCTCCAGGAGTGTGACGTTCGTTCTCGCTACCCCCGGTCTCCAACACTCCTAGAGCGGGCCCCTCCAGCACGTCGCGAGAGCGCCAGTCTCGAGTCTCAACACATGAGAAAGGAGGCGAGCAAGGTAACCCTGTGTCCAACTGAAGATGCAGGGGCCAGAACGTCACATTTTCTTGGCCCCGCGGAACTATTGTGTGAGGAGCACTTATGGCGTAGGGCGACGGCAGCAAATCCGAATGTATTCGGAGTTTGTGGTGGTCGCCCGAGCCGAGGGAACCGGAGGTCACACCTTCACTCCTTCGCAATGCAGGCATCCCGCCCTCCAGGCAAAACGAAGACGCGCCCTCTTTTAGGAGCAAGGTGTTGAGCACAAGAGATCTCTGCTGCGCACGGCGGGATGGACTCTCCTGGGCAACGAGAAACAAACTCCTCGCAGACAAGTACGAATCTACTCGCACTTGATCAGACGTCAGGGTGGTCTCATCTCGCATGTCGGAATCTCGACTCCCTATGCAGTGGGGGTCAGTTTCCATATACTCGGGACTCCCGGACGTTCTACGCTTTCCGCCCAACCCCTTTCCGCCCGACCCCTTCCCGCCCGACCCCTTTCCGCCCGACCCCTTTCCGCCCGACGCCTTCTCAACCGACGATGTCTCGCCCGTCCCCTTTCCGGCAAATTGTGAGTCGTCTCCTCCGCCACCTCCTCCGTCTCCTTCGTCTCCTCCACCACCCCCTCCCGGATGCTGACCGGCCGGCGGAGGTTGCGGCATGTGCCAGTCAATGCCACGAGACGGTGTCGTTTCGAGTGCGTAGAACGGTGCTCGAAACTCCAACATGTTGTTGGCGTACAACTCATGTAGCTTTTGTTTTGCATACGCATCGACGTCCTGATCGTTCCTCTCGGGGTTCATGAGACTCAAATGCTCCATCAGAGCAGTTCTTGCCTTTCTCTTAAATGCACCCGCTCCCAGTCTCTTCAGTCCACTCCACTTGCCATTGGCCTCCTTTATTGCCATCACCCATATCCCATTCCTCACAGCAGGTTGGAATATCCTCGGGTGCCAGACGACGTTGTGTCCCCAGACATCCTCCGCCGTGAACCGGTGATGCTTGCCGAAGAAGYAGAGTCTGTCATTCTGYCAGGTGTCMTGGTCCACAGGGAGCCTGTCAYAAGGTTCGTGATCATAGTCTCTCTCTTCCTCCGCGTCATCAGACGATTGGTCGTCGACTCGTTCGCCCCGAAACACACGCTTCAAACCGGCAGGGGACGTGCTATATCTCCGAGGGCCACCTTCCTCTTCATCACCAACCTGTCCAACCACCCGAGGAAGTGGCATGGAGTCGAAATCGAAGGTTTCAGAGTTGCTCAGCTCCTCGATGTCTTCAGCGTCGAAACGGTCGTCCTCGTCAAATTGTGACTTGTGGTTTTCAAGAGTGAGCGGTTCGGCCAGCATGAAGTAAACGTGCTCCAGCCTTCTCAGGAAGTGCGAGACAGACTCCGTGTGTGCACCGTGGTACCCATTGAGCACAGCGAACACCAGGTTTCTCCGTCGACTGTATTCGAGGTCGGTCTGACCAGGCGGTCCAGTTCCGAAAAGGAAGTCCCAAACGTCCGTCTTTTTGTTCCCTGACAATTTCCAATACATGTCACGTTTGGGATCCCAGTTTCGTTCGCCGGTGGTCTGGACAAACTCGCAAGCATTGCGAGTGTCTGCAACGCGTGCCTTCACGAACTCGTGAGCGTAATCGATCATCTTCGCCTCCTCCAACGCGACGACGTTCCGACCGGTGCGCAGGAGTTCCCACACGACAGACGCATGCGCCTTCCCAAAGAAAAAAACAGTTTGACCAGCTTTGCAAAAGTTTTCGAGTAGACCAACTAGACGGGACGGGTTCCGCTCCATCTCCCCGTAAGCAGGTCCTTGAGAACTTGTCACGCCGCCGTCCTCCCACATGCTACGAATGAACCTTTCCTCTTCCGCCACGTCAAAACACGCCATAGCCTGTCCTGATGGGTCCGACGAACAGATAGCTTTCGAGCGGCCCGCCACCGTGTGTTTGGCCGGACTTGGACCATGAGCACGGGAAGCCTTTGTCGGGCTACTGGCCGGGTAGACTGCGAATGTGTTGCCTTCCAGCTTCTTGCCATTAAAATCACGTACAGGCGGTCACACTCCTCAACCAGCATATTGCCTTCCCGGATAGTGGACTGCTTTTGTGCATTACGTACCCACTTCCCTGTCCTGACGTGATGGATGCTAAGCCTGGCCATGCCTTTCAAGAAATTGAGCTCCCAACGAGAGGGAAAAAAAATCACAAGTGCCCAGTGCGTTGGCGAAAGTGTTTGTAGAAGGCCTTGCAAGTTGGCGAAATCGTCTTCTCGCCAGTCTGTGAGGAGTGTGGGATCACACAAATCGAGGACGTACAGGTTGCACACGTAATGCCGCACAACCTCACGGATCGCAGTGACATGACTGTGAGCTTGGGAAGGCGGAAAAGCGAAAGGAATAAGGCTGGTCACCCAGTTGAGGTCGGGCCATTTAATGTGCCTCACATCCCCGCTGACCCTGATCGTGTCTCGAACTTCTTCTTCCGTCCGTCACAGGATGGAACGGACAGACTTTTCGAAAGATTTAGGGAACATGTCGTCCTCGTACAATTTCTTCGCGTCGTCGAGGGACTCCTTCTCGTGCGGAAGAGTACGTTTGAAAGTGTTCACGTACTCCACCGCGCCCTGGAAATGCTTTCACATTTCGACCCACACCTGTTTCGTGAGGCCCTGCGGCCCGAACTCCTCCAGAAGCCGCCCCTCGGTGCGGAAAAAAGAGCTCCCGTAGCGTCAAACACGTTCGTCCGCCTCCGTTTCAAGGAACAAGATGTAGTGGAACATACGGAGCATTACACAGTCTTCTTTCGCCATCGCGACCATGTCTTTAATTCCTGGTTTATGCTGACGCTTCATATGGCCGCCCGCGGATTGCACGAACACTCCCCTTAGCGCGAGAATGTTGTCAAGGATCGACAGTTTGTCGACATCGGTCATGTCTGCGAGACACTGCCAACAGAACATGTCTGGCTCCTTCACCACCACGAAAAACTTGTCGCCCGCTTGCGTTTTCTTTTTGGTCGGAGGCCGTGGGACCCGGACCAGCCACCCCATCTTCGTTTCACCAGTCGCCCCTTTCGAGCCCATTTCCGGAATTGCTTGCAGACCCGGAGATTTGTTTGGCATGTATTTGCCCGGCCTCGACAATGGCGTCTTGCCGTCGCCGCCCAACAACTTCCCCTTCGCCCATTTTGCGTAGAATTCCATGGCTTTGTGGAAAACGTCGTCACCGGCCGTCACGAGCGGCATCCACTGCCTCAATGCATTGCCAACTGCAGCGACATAGTCCTTGTCGACGAGCGACGAATCTTTTTGTGCCAACGTCCAGTGAGCTCCGTTCGGACTCTTTCCCAAAATCAGCTTTTGGAAATCGAAGAACTTTTGTTTTTCAGCCTCCTTGCCGGAAGGGTTCCCTTGAATGGCCATCAGCCTTCCTTCGTTCTCCCATGCCTCCCGCATGTCCAAGAACGCGGCCTTTTGCGACCGCTGCTTAGACATTTGTGTCTCGTTTTTTCGTTGAGACTGACGTGCCTATACCCCGCGAAATCTTGGTTGGAGAACCACACTACTCTCGCTGGCCACGAGTGCATCTTCCACAAATCGAATATTTGCTCACCCTCCAACTCCTTCACAGCAGCCACGGTGTGTTGTCCGTTAACAGGGTAATAGTARTACTTGTCCTTGTCCTCTGGCTTGAAGACATCTTTGTGAACCCTGTCTGCTTGCTCCGGCCTACGCGACACCGGCTTGTAGATGGGTGCCAAAACGAGAGGGTTTTTCGGCCAGATCTTCTTCTCGCGGAAGTGACTCAGCATCACATCCTTGATGTCGTCCACAGTTTCGCAACTTAGACTGCGGTGGTTGTAATATCTTTCCCAAGGCGGGATGTCGCAGACCTTCCTGGGGTCGACGAGCAGTTGGACGGGGAGCTCCTTCTCCACGATTTCACCAACATCGTTCCGCTCGTATTCGAGCCAGAACGCTGCCGCTTCGTCGCACTCCTGACCGACAGGCCCTTCGCCACCGCTCGCCGCCTCAGCAGTCTTCCACCTTCGAGGTTTCTTCTGGCCATCGCCTTCTTCAGCTGCCACTTTCCGTTTCGATTTCCCCGAAGGTTCTCTCGCGGCCGCAACGCCTGGATCAGTCGAATCTCCTCCACCCGCGGCTTGTCCTTCGCGGATGGTCAAACCGCCTGGCCTCCTCGCTTTCTTACTTGCCGTCCCACCCTCTTCGTTCGTCGGCTTCTTTCCCGAGGCACGTTCTCCGTCGCCACCTCCATCCCCGCCCATCAACGCCTCCGGTTTTCCTCTCATCCTCTTCATGCGGAGGGTTCCTTCCACCACCTCCTCTTGCACCATCCTCTGTCGCTCGCTCTTCTTCTCCGAAGGAGTCTGCTCCCTGCCAGAGCTTTGGCGGACAGCGCCCATCCCTTCAGCCTCATTCCCTCCAACATATAGCCCCGCTCTGCTTGAATCTCTTCTCGTCTCATCTCGAAGCGAATACGTGTCGGCGCCGCAGCGGACCTTGATAATTTTCGGAGTACCGACCCGTTGAGTCCCTGTACCCTGAGAATGCAAGTCCGACGTGTTCCTAGGAGCATCCAGGCCGACCTGCGTGTGAACGCTGCGTCCCTTGACCCGACCCCCAGCTTCTTGAATCGGACTCCCGCGCCCCACTACCGTACCTGGAGTTTCTTGAGCCAAGCCGGACGACCCCTCACAGGGTGGCAGAAGCCGGAAAACATGCTCTGGCGGAAGAACCGGACATTCTTTTGGCACCATCACCGCGAGATCAAGATATTGCTCAGGCGATGGAAGACGCTTGCTGCCGCCATCGTAAAGGCCTTTGAAGTGAGAGCACAACGGCATGTTCGAGCCGTGCCCCGCGAAACTCTTGATGGTCACCACCACACCTTTAACACCTCTGATAGGCAGTATGCACTCGTCGTACACGCCGTTAGTGTGCAGCTTGAGCAAACCTCCAGGAATCTTCGTGCACAAGACGACGGTACTGAGAGGAAGAACATTGACCGCTCCCCCAGTGTCTGTAACGCAAGTGGGTCGCATGAAAACAGCTGGCCCAAAAAGGTCCCCCTAAACAACGAAGTCCAAAAACCATGGTGCTCCCTTTGTGTGCATATACTGAGGAGTAGGTTGCTGTACAGGTCGTCCCTCCCCGAGGGCAGATGGTCCAGCGCTTGTGGATGTGTTCTTTGCGGACGCCATTGTAGTCCCACCCGTTGACTAGCACGCCCAACCTCAGACCGACTCGGATGACTAATACGCCCAACCCCAGACCACTACAGAAGCGAAGTGCGAACTAACTCGGACTTAACGAAATGGTGGACGAAAAGGACGTAAGAGATGGGTGTTCGAAATGCACACAAAGTCACAACAATCGAGTGAAGGATAGGAAAGACAGAAGTTCAGAGGGAAGACGATAACCGTTCGGAAAGATTGCGACCCAACTAGGTGCCCTCGAAACGAGTAAGATGTGGTTTATCGACAAGTGCGAAGGGTGTCGACAAGTGCGAACTAACTCACAGTTTTGTAGACAAGACAACAATGGCAACCCGCTGCACTAGGGGAAAGTGCGAACTAACTCGGAATTGTGGAATTGAAGACCTGAAAGACGCACGAAACGAGTAAGATGTGGTTTATCGACAAGTGCGAATCGACAAGTGGGAACTAACTCGCAGTTCTGCCTTTCGCAAGTGCGAACTAACTTGCAGTTCTGTAGACAAGACAACAATGGCAACCCGCTGCACTAGGGGAAAGTGCGAACTAACTCGGAATTGTGGAACTGAAGACCTGAAAGACGCACAAAACGAGTAAGATGTGGTTTATCGACAAGTGCGAATCGACAAGTGAGAACTAACTCGCAGTTCTGCTGACAGGACGACAATTGCAAACCGAAGTGCAATGGGAAAGTACGAACTGACTCCGAATTGTGGAACTGAAGTCCTGGTTTATCGACAATTGCGAAGGGTTTCGACAAGTGCGAACTAACTCGCAGTTTTGTAAACAAGACAATAATGGCGATGCGGAGCACTAGGGGAAAGTACGAACTAACTCGGAATTGTGGAACTGAAGACCTGAAAGCCGCACGGGTTGGGTTGTCAACTCTCCAGCAGTGTTGCTCAAAAAGTGCGAACTAACTCGCATTTGTGGAAATAAAGAACTGCCTTTAATGAAATATGTGTCTAACCTAGGGAAAACTGTGAATAACCTCGCAGTTGTCACTCCTCGAACATTGTACGTCGCAAACTGCGAACTGACTCGCAATATATCTCTCTCTATATATATGTATGTATATATATATATATATATATATATATATCGTCAAATAGAACTGCCCGGTAAACCGTAGGCAGAGAGGGAGAAGAGGACAACAAACGAGTATATATATATATATATATATCGTCAAGTTGAACTGCCCGGTAAACCGTAGGCAGAGAGGGAGAAGAGGACAACAAACGAGGGGCTGTGACAAACTGTTTATATATATATATATAAGGTCAGCGACCTCACAAGGGACGACCTCACAAGGGACAGGTGAACGAAAATCGGGAATTGATTCGGTGTTCAGTGTAGCAATATATCTAGATATAGGTACATATATGTATCTATATCTTTATATATATATATATATGTAGATATCAGGTCGGCGACCTCATAAGGAACAGGTGAGCGAAAATCGGGAATTAATTCGGTGTTCGGTGTAGAAACTAGGTGTTGATTCGGGGTTCGCCATGCGCGGCGACGACTACAAGTTGCAAAGGGGATCGAGCAGCTTTATACGAACGTTATCGTGGCTATGGCGAAAGGTAATCGAGCTGCGGAACGCGGATCGGCTATGGCGGACGGAGGTGGAGGGTGGGGAAAAGAGATCAGAGCACGTCCACTGGCGAAACAACAAAACCGGGAATTGATTCGGGGTTCAACAGAATGCGGCTGCTGCGTTATATCCTGCAGGTACAGACAGGGCATCTGGGAATGTGTTCAGACGTCGGACACAGAATATGACAACTCAAGTTATATGATTTTACCTTCGTCGTGCGTTGAGCGAGCAACCAACCACCGAACCAGTTATGGTGGAGGGATATCGAGCTAGGAAGAGCGAAGACCGAGGAGCGAAGAGCGAACCGAACACAATGTGGCAACTGCGGACGGAGCGAAGAGTGAAGAGTGAGCGGGCTATGGCGGAAGGTGGTGGGGGTCAAAGACCAAATATCAGAATGCGCGCGGAAGCGATAGCGCAACTTTATCTGTTGAGCGCCAACAAAAGGGATAACTCGAGGGCTGCAACGCCTTTTATACTTTGTTGCAGCAGGCCTCGCGGCGGGATCAAGGTGGGGCCGAATCGATTCGCATATCACACCCCTGGGCCCATAAAACGCCATCAAGGTAGGGGCGAATCGATTTCCGTATCGCACCCCTGGGCCAATAAAACGCCAGAGCCTATAAACGGTAAGGGGTACCGGAAATTGTTAGCCGTCGATCAACAATTTTCAACCGCGCAGATGAACGGAGCCACTGTTATGCCAGTGGCCCCAAAATCTCCGTCTACTCTGGCGTGCAATGATGTGACAGTTCCCGAAAACAAGGGGCAGACAATGTCATTTTCGCAGTTGTAATCTGGACCATCGATCGGCAGAATCGATGTACGAGGTACGAGGTACGAGGTAAGGCGCAAGAATCTATAAGGTGCGGTGATTCGTTGTGCGCTGAGGCGGTTCGTTGCGCGCCGAGGCCAGGCGACGGTTTATTTCCCGCCGAGGCGCGGCGATTCGTTGTGCGCCGAGGTCAAAAACACCGGAAATCTATAAGTTCTGGTGTCGCTGTCATTAGGACATTTTGCAAATGTCAACGGATCGATGTGCTTAGCCATGCACCATCGTTATCGATGCGCTTAGCTCATTGCCATCGCCAACGCTCGCCATGCACCATCGCCATCGATGCGCTTAGCTCATCGCCATCGCGATGCAAAGCTATATCCCCCATCGCAGCCGTCGCGCTCGCTTGACCATCGCAGCGCTGACAATCGCCATCGCTCTCATCGCAGCGCTGACCATCGTTGCGCCATCACAACGCTGGTACCATAGCTGTCATCGCAACGTTGGTTCCATCGCTGCGCCATCTCTCAATCGGTGCGTCATCGCTATCGCTGTCATCGCTATCTCTGCCTTCGCTATCGCTGTTCCATCGCTGCGCCATCGCTATCGCTGTTCCATCGTTGTTCCATCGCTCTCCACCCCTGCGCCATCGCTGTCCACCGGTGCGCCATCGCTGCGCAATCGCTACCGCTGTTCCGTCGCTGCCATTGCTATGGCTATCGCTGCATTGTAACGCGTTCCATCGCCGCGCCATCGCTCTCCACCGGTGCGCCATCGCTCTCCGCCGCAGCGCTGGCCATCCCTATCGAAGCCCTGGCCAGTGTTATCCCACCGCAGCGCTGCGCAATTTCTCTCTCCATCGCCACACGATCTCCCTCCATCGCAGAGTGATCACTCTCCATCTCACTCCATCACTGCGTGATCTCTGTCGACAACCGGGCAACCTCCATCCTTGCCCCAGAGGCTCTCCATTACTCGTGCGCGATCCCGCCATCGCCATTGTATTGTTGTTTCAGGCCGTCGTCGGTGCAGCCGCCCATCACTGTGGAATCGCACGAAACAGGTGACCGGTATGCTTAACGAAGGTTTAACTCGATGGAAATGATGTTGTGCAATAACAAATCTTGGTCATCGTTGTGCCTTCTCTCTCCATCACTGTGGCATCGCTAACCATTGTTGCGCGTCCTCTGTCCATCTCTCTCCACCGATGCGCGATCTCTACCGACCTCTCGTCATCTATACCCATCGCTGTAGTATCTTTCATAATCTATCTCCTTCGTCATCCATCTCCTTCGGTGTGATACCCATCGCTGTAGTATCTTTCATAATCTATCTCCTTCGTCATCCATCTCCTTCGGTGCGCTATCTTTCCTAATCTATCTCCTTCGTCATCTATCTCCATCGCTGCGCTATCTTTCCTAATCTATCTCCATCGTCATCTATCTGCTTCGGTGCGCCATCTTTCTCCATTGTTGTGCTATCGCTAACCATCGTTGCGCCTGCTATCTCCATTGCTGCGCTATGTTTCTTCATCGGTGCGCAATCTCTCTCTCTCGCTGCGGCACACCTCCCAATCAGTTCGTGATCTTTTTCCCTTCTTGCGCCATCCACCTTCTTCCCCGGAATATACAACGCACTTTCATTACAGTTGTCTTTAGACTGAAAGATGACCCAAATTCAGTTGTAATGACCGGACGTTGTATTCGAGGGAAGACTGTGACTCCATCCATCTCTCTTGGTGCGCCATCTCTCTCATTCGGTGCGCCATCTCTGTCCATGTATTTCCATTGATGCGTCGTCTGCCCATCGCTTCGCAATCTTTCTCCATCTTAAAAAATCGCACGCCATCTTTCCCTATTTCTCTCTTGCGACGATCTGTGGCTCGTACTACACGCAGAACAAGTCGGAAACAACTTGCACTTGTACCCGCAATTTCGTAATGGAAATGCTCGTTTACAAGTGCGAATTCATTCGCTCTTGAACCAACCAACCCCTTAATTTGTCACTTTTTAGTCCATAGGTCAGAATTAACTCGCACTTGTACCTCCAGTTCCGTAATGAAAATGCCCGTTTGCAAGTGCGAATTTATTCGCTCTTCAATCAACCATCCCCTTAAATTTCTTACTCTACAGTCCAAAAGTCCCTGTTTCATAGTGAAAATGTTCGTCTGCAAGTGCGAATTTATTCGCTCTTCAACCAGCCATCCCCCCAAATTTTTGACTCTTTAGTCCACAAACCCCAGTTTCGTAATGGAATACTCGTTTGCAAGTGCGAATTTATTCGCTCTTCAACCATCCATCCCTCTAAATTTGTTCCCCTTTTGTCGATAATTTGGGTATCTTCTCGGCCCAAAAGAAATAAGTTGTTTTGTATTTGCGAGTTAACTCGCCACTGAACCAACCACGAAGGCAATTTCTTATTGCACGGCGTAATCGAAATGTTCCTCTGAAGTGCGAATTTTTTGGCACTTGAAATTTCTCGCTGTTTAGTGGAAAATACCGAATCGACTCGCACTTGTGTTCGGTYTTGTTCCGACCATGAACTTAATTTCTTACTGTATGTTGAATAAGTCCGAATCAGCTCGCATTTGTACTCTCGCCTGAAAAAGTGCGAGTTTACTCGG